TGGGTCTTAAGCAGTAGTGTTGCCCATGTCGTAGAGGCGACTGGGTCTTAAGCAGTAGTGTTGCCCATGCCGTAGAGGCGACTGGGTCTTAAGCAATATTGTGGTCCTTAGGCTTTGGGGAGCGACTCGTGGTCCACTCCTGGACTTTGCCCATGCCGAAGAGGCAATTGAGTCTTAAGCAGTAGTGTTGCCCATGCCGTAAAGGCAACTGGGTCTTAAGCAGTAGTGTTGCCCATGCTATAGAGACGACTGGGTCTTAAGCAGTATTGGCCCTTAGGCTTTGGGAGCGACTCGTAGTCCACTCTTGAACTTTTGCCCATGCCGAAGAGGCGACTGGGTCTTTCAGCAGTATTGGCCCTTAGGCTTTGGGAGGGACCCGTAGTCCACTCCTGAACTTTTGCCCATGCCGAAGAAGCGACTGGGTCTTGTTGTAGCGCCGAGGTCTCTGCCTATGAGGTGCCGAGCTGCCTGGGTACTGAGCTGCTTGTGAGGCGCTGGGCTAACCAGGTGCCAAGTTGGATTGATGAGCTTCGTTGCTCTTTAGAGACCTGCAAGGAACTAATGTCAGAGGACCCGGGGTGGCTAAACCAGTGAGGTCACTCTGATGGCTAAGTTAGTACTCTCATAGTAGACTGCGAGCTAGAAATCACAATCTAAGAGCTAGAGCTTGCTTACTTGTTTCTGAGGCTGGTGCCTTTTTAGTTCGTAAGTTCGCGCCTGGGCCAGGCCGCCACGCCTGCACCCGTGCTAGGTCGCGCCAGGTCACACCAGGCCACCGGTGGGGGCCTTAGAGCTATGATTGCGCTGCCTTCGTCTCGTAATGCATTTTTGAGTTCATAAAAAAAAGGAAACAATAAAGCGAGAGCTTCAGTTTCTAAAAAGGTGAGGACTTAGTTTTTTTGGGAGAAGAGGACTTAGCTTTTTGTAAGATAAGAACTTAGCTTTTTGTAGGATGAGAACTTAGCTTCTTGTAGCGTTTCCCACAGACGGCACCAAATGATGTAACGGTTTCTGGTCACGTATCATTTTTTTGTGATGTACCAATTTTTTGTCTAAGTACCTCGTCATCTTGTCTGCTCCCATGTGGTCGGTGACTCAGGGGCTGAAGTGGAGCTCCCTAGTGGCGAGCTGCCTAGTGGCGAGCTACCCAGTGGCAAACTGCCTTGATGAGCTGCTTGGAGGTGAGCTACCTTGATGAGCTGCCTGGTGGTGAGCTACCTTGATGAGCTGCTTGGAGGTGAGCTACCTTGATGAGCTGCCTGGTGGTGAGCTACCTTGATGAGCTGCTTGGAGGTGAGCTACCTTGAGCTCTATTGCTCTTTTAGAGGCCTGCAAGGAACCAGATGTCATAGGACTTGGGGGTGTTTACCCAGCAAGGTCACTCCGATGGCTAAGTTAGCACTTAGTAAAGAGAGCCTGAAGAATGATATTAGAGAATGAGAGAGCTAGAGAGCAGGGGTTACCACCTCTTCCTTCAGCATTTTGCATCATTTTTTAGCATACCTTTTAGGGTTAGGTGGAGCAGTTCCTGGATTTCCGCTATGATGGGACCTGCTTCCGTGTTAGGTGGGGATAAAGCCACCAATTGGTAAGGTTGCCCATTTCTGCCTGACTGGGGGAGTGGGTGAGCTAATATAGTCGTTACAAGTCACAATCCCGTAAAATGCGGGGTATGGTGGTGAGCTCCTCAAGGTTGTCAGGTTGGCGCCTATGTCAGGCCGCCAGGTCGGTGCTTGGGCCAGGCCGCCAGCTCGTGCCAGGGCCAGGCTGCCAGCTCATGCCAGGGCTAGGCTGCCAACTCGTTCCAGGGCCAGGTCGCACCAGGGCCAGGCCACCAGGTCGCGCCTAGCGGGATACCATAAACTTAGCAAAGGCAAGTTGTTGTCCGAGTGTCACCTAGTTGTTCTGAGGTGCCAAGCTACAAGATGGCGAGCTGCCTGTAAGTGCTGCAAGGTGGCGAGCTGCCTAGTTGTCAAGAGGCTGCACTTAGTTGTCAAGAGGCTGCCAGGTGTTATAATGTAATTGAAGGGTCAAATCCGCCCTCATCAATATTCACAGACCAAAGTTTAAGAGAAGAGGGCCGATGGTGAGAAGTGCTCTAAATGAGAGCAGAAAAAGGAAGGGAGAAACGTGGATCTGGGTGATCGCCAAGTATGACAAGAGCGGCAAGAAGAGTCTCATTGGTGAAAGAGGCACGAATCATGTGAGCATCTCGACGATTTTAGCAAAGAAAAAGCTTGATAACAGTACCCTGGGCAGCAGAGGTGTTGAGGTTTTTGGCAACTCTGCCGCGTCCAAAGTTTCAGGTTGGAGCAGGCAGAACTCTAGAAAGCCTGCTGCTTTGATGTCGGGAGTGGATCTCCATGTGGGTTCACAAGGGCTAGAAGGGGTTTTCATGAATCACGGTTTTCGGGACAAAAATCTACAGCAGGAAGATTGGAGGTTGATATGGGTCGTATGAGCAATCTTGATGAAAAGGAAAAGAACCAGATAAGTGAGGCAATCAACAAGAAACCTCGTAGTTCAAAAAATCTCAGTGCAGTGCATGTGATGAAGATATTCTCCAGGCTAAAACTTGGTCTAGCGGGGGAAGACCCCACAAAAAAAAAAAAAAAAAATTCAAATGGGTTTATAAGAGGAAAAGATTTAGAGGCAATAGGTCATCTAGCAGTGATAGCAAGGAGACAATGATGCAATGCCAGCCTGTGTCCTCTCATTTAGGTAAGGAGCAACAGAAGGACAAAGTGTGTGCTGATGACTCTGCTGCTGGTAAGAATGCGGCAATGCAAAACAATGGTGGCGTTGACAACAAGACAGGGAGTGGGACTCTTCAGAACTTGGTGAGTAGAGAGGTCACGGTTGGAAAGAGCCTGGGTTTATTTTTCCGGGGTGGTGAAGAGTTTGAAAGAAGGAAAAGGAAAGAGAAGATGAACAAAAAACCTAATCAGGGTGGCGACAGGCACTGGAATAAAGATGTTTCAGGCCGGAAGGATGAATTTGTGGTGGAAGATTGAGGCTTTGGTTGTGGAGCAAAGAGGGTTAAGTTTCTGCTTAGGGGGTAGGTTTGGATGCTTTTGTTATTATGGGGATCTCTTGGTTTGTTTTATTGGCTTGTGCTCAAGATTGTTTTGAGAAAAGTTGTAAGTTTTTGCCATTTGGTTTTATGGGTTTTAGTATGGGATCTTTGAGATCTTTGTTGGGCTCTTGGGTTTGTTTCCTCTTCGGGTGATGTCTTATTACCTTCCTATTGTATTCTTTTCCTTTTCTAATGAATTTTATCCTATTCTTCAAAAAAAAAAAATATCACTTGTTAAAACATGCTAACATGCTTCTTATTACCCTAAATATTTTGCTTTACTAAAACTGGTATTTCCTTGTACTGTGATGTCTTGCTTTTCTCAAAAGCTTCATTGATTTTTGCTCATTCCATGGATGTCCATTAATGCTGCTTGAGTGAAGACATAGCATGTTGTACTATCCACCCCATGGAACTACCCAACCCGTCTTTTATGCCTGCTCCCTTGGTAACTTGAGTGGTCGGGATATTGGTGGCTCCTTTGGGAACCAGTCTGGTGAGATCATTACAGGGACTCTATTAGATACTCCAGTAGAGCAGTGTTCATGACCCTCTTTCAGGGTTTTAGACTGTTGTTATTCCCTTGGTTCTGAGGGAGTGGGATGGGTAATAAGTTGTCATTGGGTGGATAGAGTTATGGTGCATGCCCTTGAGTCTGCAATATTTCATCAGAAAGGCATGATCCTTGGCATCCAGAATTACCATCTTGTTGGTTTATAGGTCATTTAACAAAATAGCAAATAGCCTACCTAGAACAGGGGTCCATGGGAATAACTTTATTGGGGAAGAAATTCCAAGGTGAGGAGCTAGTACCATATCTCATTGGTATTTTTGCCTTATATTTGTCTGAAAACAAAGTTCTCCTTCGAGGTTTGCTTTCCCATCAAGTCATTTGGGCTTCCGATTTTGCACCATGTTTGTCCATTAGTGCATCTTCTGATCAGACAACACAAACAAAGAACATATTATGAACCAATCCTGCTGAGTGGCTTCATATTCATGTTTACTTAACAATGCTGCCGTTGTATGAGATAGAATATGACTAGGTAATACTCGACTTAACTTCAGCATTAGTTTCTACTAATTGGGATTTGCTGCATGAATCCCATCCTACCAAAGCTACCATTGGGCTTAATAAGGTCAAGCATCCATCAAATGTAAATCAGGACTACAGAGGCTCATAAATTTACCGAGTGATGGAACTAGATAAGCAAGCAAGGGACTTCAACAGGTAATAATTCAATTCAGTGGCTTAGACTTTATAAAGCCACATTGACTATGTACTACACAAAACAACACATGGGAAACCTACAAATCACAGATCATAGTGCCAACAATGGGGAAATTTAAGCCTTCGTGTTCTCGACTTTTGTAAACAAAACCAAAACTACAGTAATACATTATTGCAGCAATATGATCAAATTTCAGTTATATAAGTCAATCATTTCTTGATAGATAAATAACTGAAGCAGTAGCATTTAATGTCAAACAAACTCTAGTTGTTTTTGTAATACTGAGTTTTTTTTTTCTAATTGCCAGGTTGGTACTAAATTCGGAGAGAGCACATTGAAACTTGGCTCAATGCTCACTGATGGTCAAGTTGGCAGGCTCAAGGATAAATCAGCAGCTGCCATGTCCACATTTGGTGACATTCTGCCGGTTCAAGCGGCAGGCCTTCTTTCATCCTTTACAGTTGCAAGATCAGACCCTTGATTTCCAAATGAGATCCATTCTTTTCTTCAATCATGGTTATGTAATTAAGTGCAAACAAGAGGATATAGTTATTTTCATTAATCGGAAGAGATTCTGAAACTTCAACGTTTGAAAGTTGATGTTATGGCATCCACAACAAGATGCAGTTCATATGCTGAGGGAGGGATAGACAACATAGTTGAGGATGCTGGATCAGAAAATGGAAATATCCCATTGAAAGTTTGCAGTTCTATTTTGAAATAAGTGGGTGTGGAAATAAATCAGGAATTCAGTCATCAAAAGCACACAGTTATGTAAACCAGCAGCAATTTCGGCTCTCAGTATCAATTAAATCATGCAATACCATGCATTATCAGGAGCAGGACACCATTATCAACGGAGCATTGGTATTGGCCAGTTGGCCCTGTATGCGTATTTCTTTTGTCTCTGATCTCTCGCCCCCTTTTTAGCTTCTTTTTTTAGTTTCTTTCCCTTATTAGTTATTTGTTTTGGTTTAAACATATATGATACATCTTCTCCCCTTTTAGTCTTAGGAGGATAAATAGATTTTGTTTTTTGCTACTTGAGAAAGATGAGTAGCTTATTTTAAAATGAAAAGCCCTGACAAGTTCACCTAAGCTATCTGTTGCCAAAAAGGTGAGATGCTCAAATTGTCCAGTTTATTTTTCTTTCTTTTAGATCTTTCATATAAAGTTATGGAAGTATATTTAAGGCAATTTTTAACTTCCACCTCATAAATTTTTATTTGTTTTCTGATTCTATTCTCCAAAACCCCACCTATGATAAAGTACCTACCCTTGTGTTCTGTTGAATTCCCCCATCTTTCACTGTTCTCAAATGTAGAAACATATAATTTATGGGATGGGGAATCTGAAAAAAAAACATCTTAAATTTAAGCTCAAATTACTTAAGTATAAATGCATAAAAGTGATATTTTATAGTTTATGTGAAATGTGAATCATATGGATATACTTTCAAAAGGTTGGAAAATGGTAGAAGAATTGAAATATGCATGCATACTGAAATATATCTCACTGACATTTAAAAAATCTAATTGTAATGATTAATTAACTATTATCTTTCTTTTTTATTTTTTATGAAAATACATTTTTACCAAAAAATAATGTCTTTCATCTATTAGGTTCAGAATGAATTTGAATAGGTGTGTGTGTGATGTGTATATATATATTATCAGTGAAAGTAAATTTATTAATGAAAAGATATGAGAATTAGTACAGAGATTGGGTAGCCTCTGCTACCCCAGTGCCCAATAACATTCACCCAATATTTTCCTTACAATCTTACAATAGAGCCCAAAAACATTGTTCCCTGTTTGCCCCTTGCTTTGCTAGCTGATCCACAAACCCATTTGCTACTCTTGGAGTCCACTGAACTATTAACTGGATGTCCTTTGTGCTGTGCTTAATTTTGTTGATCTCATTTCTGAATGAAAGCTGAAGTGCTGTAGCTGAAGCAGTAGAAGAGAGGAGAAGACCAAGAGATGCTGAGAATGTCGAACTGAACTAACCCAGTCGACAGTACTATTATTTATTTTAAAGTACAGTACAATGTTACATGAAATGACTGGGATGCCCCTGATTAGTGATGGGACACCCAGACAACTTAAAACACTAAACAGACTTAGGCCTAACACAGGCCCAATACATAACAACTTAAACTCAAATGCAGGCTAATAAGAACTCTTAACAGTCGAACCATCAATACATACAAAACCTTCAACCTAACACTCCCCCTCAAGCTAAGCATGGATGTCAATCATGTTTAGCTTGCCAAAAAGGTCCATGAACTTTGCTGCAGCCAACCCTTTAGTCAATACATCTGCAATTTGCATCTCAGATGGAGTATAAGGAATGCAGAGTTCTCCCGAGACTATTCTCTTTCTAACAAAATGTCGATCAATCTCAATATGTTTTGTCCTGTCATGTTGCATAGGGTTATTTGCAACGTTGATGGAAGCCTTGTTGTCACAATATAGTCTAAGAGGACCCTCAGCTTTAATGCCAAGCTCATTAAGAAGGGTCCTGAGCCATAGGAGTTCAGCAACCCCGTGAGCCATAGCTCGATATTATGCTTCCGCACTTGATCTAGCAACTACATTCTGCTTCTTACTGCGCCATGTGACCAGGTTCCCTCCCACAAATGTACATTATCCTGAAGTTGATTTTCTGTCTCCAACAGAACCAGCCCAATCTGCATCAGTATAAGCTTCAATTTCAATTCTATTGTTTTTCCTTAATAGAATTCCCTTTCCTGGGCAAGTCTTCAAGTACCTGAGAATCCTTTCAACTGCTTTCATATGAGGAACCTTTGGAGAGTGCATGAATTGACTGACAACATGTACAGCATAAGCAATATCTGGCCGAGTAAGAGATAAGTATATCAGCTTCCCTACAAATTTTTGGTATCTCTCTCTATCACAGTAGTCCTCCCCTACTGATTCTTGTAGGTCATGATTCTGTTCTATTGGAGTATCTGCTGGCCTACACCCCATCATGCCTGTTTCCTCTAGGAGGTCAAGAACATACTTCCGCTGATATATGTAGATTCCTTCTCTTGACTTAGCAACTTCAATCCCAAGAAAATATCTCAAATGVCCCAAGTCTTTGATCTCAAATTCCGAGCTAAAAACTCCTTCAGTCTTTTTATCTCTTCCAAGTCATTCCCGGTAATCACCATATCATCCACATAAACAATGAGTGTTGTAAGTTTGTTATCCTGTCTCCTTATGAACAAAGTATGATTTGCACCGCTCTAAGTGTACCCCACTTTCTTCATAGCCCCACAAAGCCTCTCAAACCATGCACGAGGAGACTGCTTCAAACCATATAATGCTTTCCTCAGTTTACACACCTTTCT